TCTATGATAACCGTAACCTCAAGAGTTTAGAGCCTTCATTTTGGCTGGCTCTCAACTGTCTTCACTTTTGGTCACTTTTGCAATACTTGAAATAGGCCTGGTTGCTGCATTCTGGATTTCTACGTGTCGGAACCATCTTTGTGGAAATCAGATACAACACTGCATTACTTTTCAACGCACCGGACCCACTAATGTGGAAACTTGGTGGCCTTGCGCTACTTTATTTTCCGAACAGCTGGAAAGATTTGACTTCACAGCTGTATGGGAAACACTTTGATCAAGGGAATCTGGAACTGCTTTGTCGGTTTTCGTGATCCTTACTTTGTGGCATCATCTTTGCCAGAGAGCTCCATCGAGCAAAGGTACCGTGGGACAAGGTTTCCAAACAAACTTTGGATCGGTACTTCTGGTTACGAAATTTGTCACAGCTTGTGAAGCTGGGACACGGTACTGCATTGGACCGCCAAGATGATTGCAGAGTTTCTCATCGCGTGGTGTGATGCAATTTGCTGTATTCAAATTGGAACTCCGTGCGTTTTCGACCACCCTTGGAATGTCGAAAAGATTTTAAATCCAATAGTGGATTCACATCAGAATTTGATGCTGTTTCAATCCCCTTGGTCTGAGCGTGATGCTTTCTATACAAAGATGAGCTCAAACCTGGAATTGGTCGAAGAATCGATTTTCTGCATTTGGAACAGCTGCATGGTTTACAGTCGTGCTCTCCATCTCCAGAAGATTTCTGAGTTGGATGCCGCATTTGTTGGAAACTGTTTTGGAACTCATTTGTGGCGATCTGCAAAAGCTTCGGACTGCATTGCATGTCTATGAGATGTTTGAAGTCTCTCGGGAACACGTCAAGTGGCGTGAATATGATTGAAGTGTTTTTTGGCAATCATGAAATGCTGTCGTGATTGGCGACACTTGTTGTAGCGCCTGTCATCGGCAGTGTGCAGTTTGATGTTCACGGATGGGTCATTTGGTGTTCCCCCAAATGTCTGGGTTTTTCCTCTCGATGATGACCGCAGTTGATCATGGCGTTTGCATTTTGCATGCGCAGAATGCTTTAAAGCATTTAAAGATCACTGATCCTGTGTTGAAAAGATCGACTGCTGAAGGGGAAAAACACAAACCTTGTTTGGTTTGCCCCGTTTCTTTTTGGGTTAATGGTTAAGGTGGCTTACTTAGCTGAACTAAACATACCTTGTAGATCAACAGAGCTATGAACCTGAGAGAACTCGCTTTGAACGTCACGTATTTGGTGACGTTTGTCCGGAGAACAATGCTTAAAGGCTGAAGGTACTTTTAATATCTTTTAATCATCTTCACTTTGCGTCGCAGCGCGCCAAACACTTTGCACGAATGTGCGAAAACTTTGCTCACGTGATTTGCCACTTTGCTTAGCTTCCTCATGCAATGTCTTTACTTATGTGGACTTAAAATGAATTTTAGTCCAAGGTGGCGTGCGAAACTTTATAGGCACTTTTACTCCGCTCTACATGCATGAGACTTTGCCAAATATTTGGCCCAAGGTGCCCGGTGTAAAAGAGGAACTTTGAGTCTTACTTAGGTTGGGCTTGGAATTAGGTTATATTAGGTTGTTAGTACTTTGGTACACTGGGGCTTTCGCGGGCTGGGTTGATTGGTTGGTTGGTGGGTGGGCAGGTCGGCGGTAGGTCGGTCAGTGTTGTTGTTGTTGTTGTTGTGGGTGGTGGTGCTGCTGCTTTTGACGCCGTTCTGTGGCTTTCGTCGGCATCTCGTCTGTGGCCACGGTCGTGGCCTCTGGTTTGCCTTTGCACGGCTTCGTTTTTCCCCGCATCATTGCGTGTGGTTCTTTGTTTTTCCGCTCTGCACCCGTCCGCCTTCTCCTCCTCCTCCTGCTCCTCCTCGTCTTCTCACGCGCAGCTCTGGCACAAATCTCAACTTTGTCACGCACAACTCTTTCACACACGGCTTTGTCACACACACACACAGGCAACTCCGCTTTATTACAGAATGCAATGTTGTCATGCGCGCGCACATGTTTGTTAGACCCAGTTTTGTCACACACAAGCATTGTCATACGCAACTCTTTCTCACACAACTTTAATCAACTTTATCTCACAGAACTCTTTCACATACAGCATTGCCACCCGCAACATCCCGCAACTCTTTCCCATACAACTTTGCCGCGCACAACTCTTTCAGACAGCATTGTCACACACGCCTTTGTCACACACACACAACAATGTCACACTGTCACGCACCGCAACTTTTGCGCGGCAAGCTTGGCACTTACGGCACTGGGCTGGCTCAGGTGGCCCACGTTGGGCTTCGTGACCCCCAACACTCTCTCTCTCTCTCACACACACCCGCGCACACACAACTTTGTTACATACATTTCTGTCGCACACGCGGCATTGTCACACGAACTTTGCCACACATAGCATTGTCACACACGCACACACACAGACACGCACAACTTTGTCACACAAACTTGCGCGATCGGTTTGTTATGTCTCTTAGCTGCTTGAATTCTTTGAACTAATTAACTGCCTTGTCTGTGATTTTTTGCGGCTTCCCCTAGTTTTGGCACGCCCTCCTCGGGTTCCTGGTCTTTCCTTGCTTGCTTGCCTCTCAGCTGTGTTGGCAATTCGAGCCGGAACTCGGTCTCTGACCTTTCCTGTTGGCACGCTACCCATGCAACACAGAGGTGTGGAGCCCGCCGGATTTATAAATCTTTATAGGCCAGGCAACATAAACACACTGGATCGGTATTGAAGCCTTGAAATGAGATTCACCAAAGGTGTAATCGATACGTGGCAAAACATCCTGCCTGGCCCATGCAACGGCGGGGCGATCTACTGAGGCTTCGGTGAAATATTGAAGATTTTGGGCAGAGCTGCAAGGAGCAGCGGTTGCAGGAAGTCTAGTTCGTATTTTTGCTGAATATGCGTTCATGGCTGTATCTATGCGACGAACTTTATTTTGCGAAAGCCCGATCTGTAGCGAAGTTTGGAACCGAAATCTAGGGGTGGGGGAATGCTATTGCAATTAAAAAGGCAGAACAGAAAGCTTTGTGTTCTTCGTCGTGCGCACGGCCGAACTAAACCAGAGGCAATGTCCTGGCTATGTGGTTTTCTTCCCTTATGGGTCGAACCAGCAAAACTAGCTTGTAGTTTCTTGCAGAAAATATTGGAAATAGTGAGTGGTTCACTTGAACGCGCTGCCCTCCACCATTACACAGATCCATGGATTGTTTGCTGACATGGATTTTCTTTTTCAAGAGGTTGGAACTGAGAAGACATGGGAGGTGCACAGGCTTTGGAGCCAGTCCTCAGCACAATTGGGGCGACAGCCTCTATTGATTGATGTATTGCAAACGCATGCGGAATACTACATTCTTCTTTACAAACTGGAAAGTACGGCTTTCTGCTGAAGATGATCCCTTGCTTCGATTCGCCATGTCCTTTTGCTCTCTCCCTGCGCACCCCTGCTGGTAGGTCGTTGTTTGGATGGCTGCCCACATCCCATTGTCTGGACATGAGACTGGAAGGTATGAGAAGAGACCCCGTGCCGAACATATTTGCAAACGCTGCTGCAAGCTAGTCTTCATTAGGGCAGTTGGGGATGAATGCCGTTCGCTTACTGAATGCGCGCGTGGTGAGTTGAAGAGACAATTTTTTTTGATTTTGCTTGGGGATTTAGTAGGACAAGAACATTCGAGAACTATTTTTGACGCCGCTCCCAAAAATTTCTGAGCTGACAAAGGCAGAACAAAAAATTGGAATTGTTGGGCGAAACTCACACTCACACTGCATGTGACAAAGGAGATTTTACAAGAACGCTTGACAAGCCCGCGGGAGCCTGATTTGTGGCTAAGTTAAGTTTGCTCCTGGAAGCTGGCGGAAGAACATTCGGAAGAAATTTGAAACTGCAAATGCGAAGCACTTTTTCTTTGGGGTCAGTGATGAAAGCAGCGATGAGGTGGAAATAGTTTCGGTTTCACACGCGCCCGGCTTAAGCTGAGGCATTTGCATGACCTTTATTAATGTTTTTTGTTACTTGGCCAGCCCATCCCATTGGTTTCACAATTCAATGTTTCACTTGTTGTTTCTTTTTCGCTATGTTGAGTGAATGTGCCGCCGCACTTGCATGGGCGAGTGTGCCGGGCGCAAGAACCGAACAGAACAGAACAGAACAGATCAGCTTCGGTTAGCGATTTAGGTCACCATCCCTGTGTGAGAAGGGTGTGCGCACACACACGCAACCATGCGTCACTTTTGTGTGGCAGGCGTGGCATTTACGGCACTGTGCCGGGTCAGCCAGGAACTTTTCTCTTGGTGCCACAACGCTATCAAACACACCGTTGTCACATACAACTTTGTCACACACAACTCTTTCACACACAACTCTTTCAGACACAACTCTTTCGCACACAACTCTTTCACACACAACAGTTTCACGCAGAATTATTTCACACGCGCACCTCTTGAACACACGATTCTTTCGCGCACAACTTTTTCACATGCGACTCTTTCACGCACACACACACAACTCTGTCACACGCACACAATTCTATCCTACATTAGCTTTGTCACGCGCAACTCTGTGGCACACAGCTCTTTCACGCACAACTCTTCCACACGCAACTCATCCATGGAAAGCTCTGTCACACACAAATATTTCCCACGCAGCTCTTTTGTACACAACGCTTTCGCACACGGCTCTTTCTTTCACAGCTGCCTCTGTCGCGCGCAACTTTGTCATACACCTTTTCCCCACACAACCCTGTCACATACAACCTTTCACACCATCTCCTTTGTCTTTTCCTGCCTTTCCCATCTCATTTCCACACCTGTTTGACAGTATTGGAAAAAGTTGATATGCCGGGTTATCCGGTCATTTAATTCTTTGGTGGGTGGGTTGGTCAGTGGGTCGGTAAGCCCGCGGGTTCACACGAAAAAAAAATCGGGGTTGGAAAAGCCAGAATGTAAAACTTTTGGTAATTCCACCAAGTCCTTGTGAGACAAATACCTGGGAAGAAGCGCGCTTATGCATCTCACCATCCACTGGCCCGGCACTTGGCCCGCCATGACTTGCAAACAATGGGGCGCAGCATCGCGATATTTTTGCGATCCGCTTTCGAGACATGACAATGCCACTTTGATCGCCTCTCTTGCACCCGCAACTTTAAGCAAAGCAAAACAGGCTGTGCTTTGGACACCTGGGACACTGAGGTAGGCCGCAAGGCCAGACATTGCCACAGAGTTGCCCCGCCCAATTTGGCAAAGAACGCGTATTGCACAACTTCTGATAGCAGAAGCAGGATGCCTCAAAGCTTCTAATGCTGAATGGATTGCTGTGCTCACCTCGTCCTCTTTGCCTTCAGCTGATAAGACCAGCAAGGTGTTTACTGCAGCTTCTCTGACCACGTCGTCCTCATCCTGCAATCGGCCCCCAACAGCTTTGATGATTCGGAGAGCCTTGCTGTTTAGTTGTTCAAATACCTCCAAGGCTAAAAGTCGAACCTTAGGGCTCGAATCAGAAATGCCCTGTCTCGTGTAAAGTGGGGCTGCTCCAACGAGTGCTGCCAGCACTCCTGCATGGGGAGCGCCCGCGGCTGAAGCCAATGCCTTTAAAGTTATTATTGCGGTGCAGCGTATGTCTACCGTCCGATTCGGCGCCAGGAAGGGCACAACCAGTGATGCGTTCATCGGCGGAAGAGCCTTTGCAATCGATGATAGCAGCTCTATCTGCCTGGGTCTCAAGAAGCCCAATGTGAAACCAAAAAGCCCTTGAAAACAATATCTTTTGGGTAGCTTTAGCAACGAAGCCCACATGATTGTGGTACTGGATGGCAAATGCACCTTTAAGACATGGAACGCTTCCAAACGAGGGTATCACCCGTATCTTACTGTGGCATCCTTTCATGTGTCTGCATTGCTTTTCCAGGCTTAAACAAAACATCAAGCAGGGCTTCAGCGGTTGATTTGTCTAACGAAGGTGGCTTTCTGATTGTTGCAGGCAATGGCAAGAGACAAGTTCCCTTGACACAGCGCAACTGCAGCCGCAGCCAGGTGACACAAGTTCCACATCTTCGCAGCGCAAGCGTCTCGGCAGCCAGTCAGCGACCGGATGCCCCGGGGGTGCTGAACTCATTGCTCGAGCGACAGCAAGACGCACGTCCGCAGAGCTGTGGGAAGAATGCCTCGACGCATCTGACATATGGTAGCATGCGGTGCAAGCGATTGGCTTATAGGGAAGAAACTATGTAAACATGACAAGCTTGCAACAAACTCTTTTGCTTTAAGAAGCATGCCAGAAATCATTGAGCACCATGGGGCAGCAATGAAGCACTCTTGCAAATCACACTTCTCCGCGTTGCAACTTGCACCAAGCATCCTTGCTTCAAACATCTTCAAACATAGAGTATATGTCACTCAAAACATCCTGTGACGGCAAATATGGCCCCAGCCCCACATGGTTGTCTTACAGCATGCAGGGGCCTGGAAACAACTTCCAATGCGTCCAGCCCTCCTGATGAAACCGATCGCACCACTGCGGCCAGTGCCTGTGGCACCAGGCGCGCAGCGTGAGAGCGAAGCACGCGAAACTTTGTCGCCAGGCCAATGGGTGCTGGCCTTCCCTGCGCAAAAACCGCGTGATGAAACTACCGCGGTGCAAACACCATGACAAACTGTGGGATGGAAGCAGCCGTCAAGTTTGAATGAAACATAATGAAACATAGACACCCAAACGCAAGCTTGCAAAAGGCAAACCCTCTGTGTTTGCAGCATGCTGTTTGGGCGTGCCACTGGTATCACGCCGGTCCGGTTTTTAAACAGCTCTCCCTTCCTCCCTCTCGCTCCCATCTGTCTCTCGGCTACATGAATTAGCCCCCTTCCTCTCAATCAAGTTCAGCGGCGAGAGTGTCAAACGCAGACCTAACAAACTTCACAACCTCCCGCATGCTCACAAGCTCACATGCTCCGGTAACGGCTACAATGGCTGCTAGCCATCTTCAAAATGCCCATCAGAAGTCTCGAATGGACTGGCTGGCCCCCGACATGTCCAGAGGTTCATCAAAACTGGCCCTATATGATGCAGCATAATGCAGCGAACCTGGAACAGGAACTGCTGCGTCCACACTAGATACGCAAGGCAGCCGAAAACTGATTACGCAATTGCATAGGTTCCAGATAGGAACGGACCGCCACCGCACTTGGACAACACCCCGGAGAGCAGACTGGGCAGCACATTGGAAACCGGAAACGAACATCACCAATGAGAACCTCATGCCAACGACAATGCATGCTGTGGCTACAAAAATGAAAGCACGTCATCACTGAGAACTAAATGCCAATGACTGCCTGTGTGCGGCCCGGGTAATTACTACCTGTTAGGATCAACAATCAACCGCTGGGCTTGCGCAAACTCACAAAGCACGTCATTGATTTGAATCAGGCATTAATGACCGGGCGCGTAAACCTCAATAAACACCATTGATATGGATGATGACAAATCAAGGGTTGGCCACTGCGCAAAAGTAGCGTGCAAAAGCATCATCTTTGTGACATCCAAATCGACGACGGGACATGCGCAAAGCTCCAAACACAGGTTAAAAACAACGAGCCCCCGGGAACCACAAATCAAAATCACCTCAAACAGCTTACAGCAATGATCTTTGCTTTTCAAACAATTCTTTCTTGTATTTTGCTTCGTTTCACCCTGGCTGTGTGAAAAACTTGCTTACAAAAATGTCGTCGCATTACTGTATGCACCATCTATTGCGACATATCTTTTGGCATATCTTGCGCCGTGTCTCTGGCATATATGTTTTTTTTGGCGATTTTGTGACATTTATCCTGCCTATTCTCGCTATGTCCTGACATATCTCCTGGCCATTTCCCCGGCATATCTTCCAGCATATCTTCTGACAATTTCTCCGCCGCATCATTCTGAATCTGACAGACCTCTGACACACATATCCATGCAGCTTCCCTGGCACAATTTCTGATGCATATCCTGACAATTTCTGGGATGTATATTGTGACACACGGAAGGCCCGGTGGCACACACTTTCCGCAAGTTTGCTGTTTGCTTTAGGGACGAGGTGCGGGCTGACGCAAATAGCCTGCGGGCTTGCCATACGGATGAGGCCAAGGCTGTATAAGAAAGCTCCCGCGCTATCTGACAGGCTCTGGGCCCGCGAGCTGCGAACTAGCCGTACGACGAGGTCTGGATGACGGCAAGGAAATGCATCTCTGGCTTTTGGTGTGACTTTCACACGCAAGGACATAGAACTCACGCAAATCTTTGCGCATGCAAGGACATAGAACTCTCTTTACCAATTTAAAAGCTACTTCTTATTTTGATTCTTCTTGCAGGTGAGCTTGAAATGTGAACCTGCCCACTTGGCAGGCAGTGTGACAGTGACGCTCCAACCTGCCTGGCCAGAGGTGATTTTAGGCCGCGGAAATTTTCCTTCGCCTACATGGCTAACTTCCAGGTGCTTCCAAAAGACAGAGAGGCTTTCACAGAAAACAGAGCCCGCTTGACACGCACGATGAGAGTTTCTTGTGTGGCAATGAATCCCGTTTTGGTTGCAACACAAATGCGCCACAAACGCTGGCCTTCATGAACCCCTTCTAAGCAAAGAGATATATACGGTATAGTGATCCCTGTGTGCATTCTGCCGGGTAGTTGTGCCACTAAACCGTTTACAAGCACAGGCTTATACTACAAAATGCTGCTTGAATCTGAACCAACCCCCCTGGCTACAAAATGCGTTGGGGGTTTTGATGGTGGATCAAAAGCCAATGTGGGTCACTACAAAATGCATTTGCGTGACCATTTTGAAGTGAAAAACGGGTTGCAGTGAAAAATCATGATTCTCTACTAAATGGTTTCTGGAAATTTCACTCTAAAGCTTTGGTTCACTTTCTGGGGCCCAGGTGACCTTTTCAAGAGGTTTTCTACTACGATGCTCAGAGCCATGGGGCGACAAAAACGAGCGCACAACTTCAAATTCAGTTGATCGGTTCTGTTTTTCATTCTTAAAGCCTCCACATAAAAAGCATGTTTTGCGAACTTTTTGGGGCTTATCTGGAGGGGGACGCAGTGGGTTCTACAAAGAGTTGTGCACGCGTGTGTTACTACAAAATGCAGTGCATGACAAAAGCCACCCAGAAACTAGGACATCACGCATCGAATCTGTGCTTTGTGGGTGAAAGGAACTCTGAACATGGATTCTTTGAACTTGGGTGAAACTTGACTAATTGGACAAAAAGAGCAGGAACCTAGTAGAATGGGATACGTTTAGATTATGATTGGCAATCGCATGTAATGGCCAAAATAAGTGTGACAAAAGCACGGCGCAGAGATTTTGAACTGCAATCGTCAGAGCTATGGGGCGCAATAAAAACGATCTAAGCGCACAACTTCAAATTCAATTGATCGGTTTTGAAATCAAATCTGTCCCATTTTTCATTCTTAAAGTCCCTACATAAAAAGCATGTTTTGCGAACTTTTTGGGGCTTATCTGGAGGGGGACGCAGTAGGTTCTGCAAAAGGTTGTGCACGCGTGTGTCACTACTAGTGCATGACAAAAGTCACCCAGAAACTACGACATCACGCATCGAATCTGTGCTTTGTGGGAGAAAGAAACTCTGAACATGGATTCTTTGAACTTAGGTGAAACTTGACTATTGGACAAAAAGAGCAGGAACCTAGTAGAATGGGATACGTTTAGATTATGATTCGTAATCGCATGTAATGGCCAAAATAAGTGTGACAAAAGCACGGCGCAGAGATTTTGAACTGCAATCGTCAGAGCTATGGGGCGCAATAAAAACGATCTAAGCGCACAACTTCAAATTCAGTTGATCGGTTTTGAAATCAAATCTGTCCCATTTTTCATTCTTAAAGTCCCTACATAAAAAGCATGTTTTGCGAACTTTTTGGGGCTTATCTGGAGGGGGACGCAGTAGGTTCTGCAAAAGGTTGTGCACGCGTGTGTCACTACTAGTGCATGACAAAAGTCACCCAGAAACTACGACATCACGCATCGAATCTGTGCTTTGTGGGAGAAAGAAACTCTGAACATGGATTCTTTGAACTTAGGTGAAACTTGACTATTGGACAAAAAGAGCAGGAACCTAGTAGAATGGGATACGTTTAGATTTTGATTCGTAATCGCATGTAATGGCCAAAATAGGTGTGACAAAAGCACGGTGCAGAGATTTTGAACTGCAATCGTCAAAGCTATGGGGCAACAGAAACGATCTAAGCGCACAACTTCAAATTCAGTTGATCGGTTTTGTTTTTCATTCTTAAAGTCTCTACATAAAAAGCATGTTTTGCGAACTTTTTGGGGCTTATCTGGAGGGGGACGCAGTAGGTTCTGCAAAAGGTTGTGCACGCGTGTGTCACTACAAAATGCAATGCATGACAAAAGTCATCCAGAAACTAGGACATCACGCATCGAATCTGTGCTTTGTGGTAAAAGGAACTCTGAACATGGAACGGTGAAACTTGACTATTGGACAAAAAGAGCACGAACCTCGTAGAAAGGGATACATGTAGATTATGATTCGTAATCGCATGTAATGGCCAAAATAGGCGTGACAAAAGCACGGCGCAGAGATTTTGAACTGCAATCGTCAGAGCTATGGGGCGCAACAAAAACGATCTAAGCGCACAACTTCAAATTCAATTGATCGGTTTTGAAATCAAATCTGTCCCATTTTTCCTTCTTAAAGTCTCTACATTGATTTTTTTCGATTTTTTGGGGCTCATCTTACCACGAAATGATCGTGGGCCAAGAGCCAAACAAAAATGGTCTGAGGGTCCAAGCTATATGTTAATGTGACCGAGCATGACCGGCAAAAGAGGGCTTTAGGGTTTCCTGTATGACCCAACGCATCCCAAATTTAATCACTACAAAATGCATTTCCGATTCTCAAGTGCTAAATGAAACGCCGCTACAAGATGCAGCGCAGGCCCGCTTACTACAAAAACCAGTGCACGACTCCATCTTTTTTGCATGAATTCTCCACGAAACAGGGGATGGTATCAAGCACGTGTTCACCCTTTTAGTAGTGGAAATGGTAAGGGGGATGTATAGTGCACATAAAAAGGCAACAGTGAAATCAAAGACCCCGAAGCCAGTTTGCCCAGTAAACAAAATATTGGGACCGAGCTTGTCTTCATGTGACAGCACCCCGCTCATAATCATTCTGCCGCATTTCGCACAGAAGTGTCCAAGCCGAGGCAAAAAGTTGTGACACAAAAGCGACCAACAGCACCCACTGCTCACAACCCTTGAGCCGAGCAAGCAAGCTGACAGAACCATTGGGTGTGGTTTTGCGTTGTATAAACAAGGGGCGCCTTTAACGGCTACCTTTAGCATTGCCACAGCGCGGGCCCCTTCCCACAAGTGCCATGTTTCTGACCTTTCGTCTTGATTCATTTTGCGGCCTGCTTCACACTCATTTCCCAAATTGTCCCAAATTATCTCAAATTAATCGCGTGTGAAAGCTAGCGCCGAAAAAAGAAGAAAACACTTTAGGGCTCAACTAAACCGTTCCGCGGTATCACCAGCCTCGAATTTCTCGCATTGAAGAATGCAATCGGCCTTGGCACTAGCATCACTAGCGAATGTGGGGCGTGTTTGAGAAAAGGATGCCAAATAATACAAAACAAATCAAAACAATACATGCCCAGTCTTGCAGGGAAAATCCAACAATCTCATCTGACCAGCTGTCATTCTTTGACGCGCGTGGGCGAACCGCAGCTGCGTTTCATTTTTGAATTCATCGGCAAACCAATGAAAAAGTCATGGCGCCAGCTTGGTAGCACAAAGGCCGGCCAAATGATCAAGGGCCAAAACGTGCGCTGCCCCATGCAATTCTTCCAAATCTGCGGTTGGAAGCCTGAGCCATTGGAGAGAGGCATGGGGCTGAAGAACAAAAGGCTTCATCTGACCAGGCAGCACATAGCAGAGGGTAGCTCTGGTATCTACACCAAATGTGCCTTGAATGCCGTTGTTCCAAGGAGCTTCCTGCTGAGCGTCCAACGCGTTCGTGCCCGCTGTTCTGCGCAGTGTGCCAAGAGCAACTTGAGCGCCCTGGTCCCCACGAGTGGCAACGGGACTTCATCCTCACGGGGTTGCGCAAACTCAGCTTCAAAATCGTCAAGTACAGGTGGGTGGCTGTGGGGGAGGTGCTAGCGTGACAAATTAATTCGACGCATCTCGACGCATTGCGTGTGCTGAATGGGCGCCAAAGCAAGAACTCTGCCGAGCATCTGAACTCTCCACATCGGAAAGCACAGGGCTTATCTGAAGTATCCAGCTCTCAACATCAAACACATCCTTGGCGAATCTGCGCATGTAGAACATTAAAAAGATACATGTTGTTTTGGAACTGGAATGTGCTTCCAAGAAGTAAAACGCTTTGTTCAGGAAGGTGAACGCATGTAAACGCGATAATTTACAGCTGCGGGAGCCGTGCTGTTCGGAAACTATTCCCGTATTACTCCTGGAACAAGTGACTAAGTGCAACGACCCATAATTTTGAAACAGCTTGCTGGATCAGAACGTATTGGCTGATGGGCCCTGGGGGGCTTTGAACCACTAATGCTAAGTTCATATTAATGAGCATCCCCGAATTAAGCAACACCATGTGCGACCCCCCAATTAAAAGACACCTTCTGGAAAACCCTATATATTTTTGCGGCGGTGAGAAAGTGATTTGGTTCTGATGCTTCTGACCTGGTGGATCTGGTGCTGAAAACATACATATTCTATATATATATAATATGTGTGCAATATATATACACACTTGTATACAGATAATATGGAAAAGAGGCAAGGCAAAGAATTTCCAAAATCTAGTACGTGTAAATCCCACAAATTCTGATTGAACAAAATGCGTTTCCCTTACTACTTTCTTATTTTAATAAAAAGAAACTCTTAAAAGGTACGTCTTTAAGACTTGAAGAGGGTGAGGCCCCCCAAAATGTGCATGTGCACCTCCAACCAATTAAACAACAACCCCAACCCCCCTGGCCATCAACATAGGTTTAAAGAAAAATCAATTGATTGAAAATAACACTGGAAATCCTTACCTAACATGTCGATTTGAAAGGAACGTCAATTGCAAGCAAATAGATTTCAAGCGAAATCCCGACTTATCCTTTAGATTTGAAAGGAAATCAATTGACAGCAAATGGAAATCCTTAGTTGTCCTTAGATTTAAAAGCAACAATCCTTGAAAGCAACTTGATTTCAATTGAAATCCTTTCTACTTTAGATTCCCCAAATAGTGTGTCCACACTAAGGGGTTCTTACGGTGAGTGTAAAGGCCGGTGCTTGATCAGGGTGCTCACTCTGGGCCGCGGCATTTTTCCTGTAAGTTTCCTTAAAAAGTGGCTCTTGTGAAATCTTGACATGCGTTTCGACTGCGCAGGCTTGCGCAAAATGCGTGTCCGCGTTCCGGCTCAATCTGGGGCGCGGCATTTTTCCTGTACATTTCCGCATAAAAGTGGCCCTTTGTGAAATCTTGACATAGGTTTCGATTGCACCGGCGCGCATAAAAGTGTACGCCTAGGTTCTGGGCAGCGGCATTTTCCTGTAAATTTCCGTATGAAATTGCCCTTGTGAAATCTTGACATGCATTTCGACCGCGCAGGCTCATGCGAAGTGTGTGTCTGCGTTCTGGGCTCAATCCGGGCCCCGGCATTTTCCCTGTAAATTTCCATATAAAGTAGCTCTTGTGAAATCTTGACATGCGTTTCGACTGCGCAGGCTTGCGCAAAATGCGTGTCCGCGTTCCGGCTCAATCTGGGGCGCGGCATTTTTCCTGTAAATTTCCGCATAAAAGTGGCCCTTGTGAAATCTTGACATAGGTTTCGACTGCGCCGGCGCGCATAAAAGTGTACGCCTAGGTTCTGGGCAGCGGCATTTTCCTGTAAATTTCCGTATGAAATTGCCCTTGTGAAATCTTGACATGCATTTCGACTGCGCAGGCTCACGCGAAGTGTGTGTCCGCGTTCTGGGTTCAATCCGGGCCCCGGCATTTTCCCTGTAAATTTCCATATAAAGTAGCTCTTGTGAAATCTTGACATGCGTTTCGACTGCGCAGGCTCGCGCAAAGTGTGGGTCCCGGTCTCGGGATTGGGTTTCCTTCCCAACATCCTCCTCTTCAACATAATTATCATCTTCCTCCTCCTCAACATCAGAATCATCATCTTCCCATCCCTTCACATTAGCATCCTCAACATCATCATCCTCCACCTGATCTTCCGCCACATCATGATCCTCCACCACATCTTCCGCAGCATTATCATGCTTGTCATCCTCCTCCTCAACATTATCCTCCTCAACATCCTCCACTTCATCTTCCGCATTAACATCCTCATCATCATCATCATCATCATCACCATCACCTTCATCATGACCCTCACCGTCATGATCCTCACCGTCATGATCCTCACCATCACCATCACCATCACCATCACCACCATCATCATCATCATCATCATCACCCTCACCCTCGCCCTCGCCCTCACCATCCTCCTCCTCCTCGTCCTCATCATCATCATCATCATCATCTTCTTCTTCTTCATCTTCATCTTCATCATGACCCTCACCGTCATGATCCTCATCATCACCATCACCATCATCATCATCATCACCATCCTCACCATCACCATCATCATCGCCATCACCATCATCACCACCACCATTATCATCACCACCATCACCATACCATCACCAGCACCACCAGCACCATCACTTCAGCATCATCCTCATCATCATCAGCAGCAGCAGCACCACCATCATCATCATCATCATCATCATCACCATCAGCAGCATCGTCATCATCAGCATCATCATCATCATCATCATCATCACCAAATCATCATCAGCATCATCAGCATCATCATCATCATCATCATCATCAGCACCACCACCACCATCATCATCCTCATCCTCATCGCCATCATCGTCATCATCGGCATCATCCTCATCGTTGTCATCATCGTCATCATCGTACATCATCATTATCATTTAGGAGGTGGATCGGCCTCTTTAACTGCGAGGACAGCAGAAAGAGGCAGATCCAGGAAGGGGGTTGCCAAACCTGAGGGACAGTGAATAGAGCAGCGGAACAGCCCGCACATAGAAAGATGTTTTTTCCAAGCTCTCTGCCGTGGAGTATTTGCACCCTTATTTCCCACAGACAGCTCTTGCTGATGGGGGGGCCAAAAGTATAAACTACTTCAGTGGCAATCCCGAACTGACGAGTTTTGCACTAGTATTTTAACCACAGTTGCAAACTGATCTCACTGCTTGGTTTTGAGTTCTCACACAAATAGTAAAAAAAATATATTTTTATGTATGTTATGCATATGTGTATGTTTGAATATGTCATCTCATATTGTATAATTTTGATCATTAGTAAGATAACTGTGTTTTGTGTAACAAACAAATATAAGATATATCACTCAAAGATCAAAGCAAAAAGCATTGTATCTTCTTTGGAAAAAACAATTGTTTAAAAACGGCTTCAAGCGGTTTCAAGCTGTTTCTACCCAGCATCAATTCTAGCTGTTTTGAAGTAGTTCCAAGCGGTTTGGAGCGGTTTCAGGCTATTTACAAAAGCTTGTTTATAAATAGCGCGGGACGGTTCGGAGCGGTTCAAAACTATTTATACTGTCAAGACTATTCAGGACTAATTGGGACTAATTAGGGTTTTGGCGGTATGAGTAGCTTGGAACGGCTTGGAGCGGTTCAAAGCTATTTGTAACTGGTTTTTATAAATAGCTCGGAACGGTTCGGAGCGGTTTGGGGCTATTTTTAACACGACCTAATAGGCACAAGGTATAAACGGCTCGGAACGGTTCCAAGCGGTTTCTAGTAAGAGCATATCATGCGACATGCTTAACCTATTTTCCGAACTATGATTTTCTTCATCTTCTTTTCAATGAATTTTCAAACAAGAAAACAAGATGTAGAAACAAACAGCAAACATATTATTTCAACTCAAAGACAAAGCAGCACCAGACAGACAGACAGACAGACAGACAGACCGACAGACCTTCAGACCGATAGACAGACAGATCCGAATCCAAAAGCCCAACCTGAGATCTGCTTCAAAGGAGGTGCTTTCATCAGCCCATAATGGATATCTAATACGTTGCGCTCTCGCTTGTTCAACGCACCTTTGCCTTCACCCGGAAGACGTGCAGTGTACCCCTGCCCACGCTGTATGTTCTGAAAAATACGCCAGTTTCCTCCTTTGACTTTGGACACGCGGCCATCCTGCAGGACATGCCGGATTGGCCGGGTCCAGTGGGGGAATAGTCCGTTGCCAAAAAAAGAAACCGGACCCGTTCAGGCTCTCTTTTCGGCCAAAACGCCACAAAGTGCGAATTAAAGAGGAAAAAATCTTTGAGACTATTTATAAATCCGAAAAAGAATCCTCCGGACTATTTATAAACCCGACAAAAATCCTCCGGACTATTTATAAAGCCTTGCCGAGCTATTTATACATTCCTGGGCGCCAGTGACTTCGGGTAGGCCTAGGAAATCTTCCGCGAAACCCGAAACCCAGTTGGATTTGGTGGATTTGTTGGGATGGCCGCCTGCTGGCGGTGGCCAAAATATGTCTCAGGAAGGCTCTGCGAAACCGGCCCGAAAACGCTCGTGTGTAATGAAACGCATATGCCTCAGGTACACAAAAAGGCTAGTCTTAGAGTGATAGTTATATTCCATCATCTAAAGACAGTGGGTTGTGGGCTGGTCCCAGTCACCGTTCTACCACTTCAAAATGCTGAGGCCCTGTATGTGGGATTGGGAGTGCACCAAATACCGTTTGAAATTTTGCGGCCGCAGCGCTCATTGAAAACCGCAGGGCCTATGAAAGAAACATATTTCGTAGCGCGTAGTGTAGACATAGAAGCACACACCAATGCAGCGATAGCGCAAGCCGCACCGTTTTGCAACTTGAGCCAAATAAGTGAAATCAACAAGAGGATGGGAGTAAATCACACATACATGTACAAGCTCTATATAAATCCGAAAATTCCTCTTTATTTCATTTTATTCTACAATTCATTATAGAGCATGTTGAGCATGGCCGCTTGCGATGTGTGACTGCTGTGTGTGGAAGAGGTTGGAAGTGCAGCATGGTATGGTGGAAGCGCGCATCGAGAAAATGTAGAAAAGCGCAAAGTGCATTTCCTGCTCTTGCTTCAAATGAAACCTGAATGTGTGATATGGCTGGGGTGCACCATGTGGTTGGTGAGAAGCTGTGGTTCGCAACGCGGGTTGCACAGATTGATTTGGTAATGGTAGCCTTCATGTCTTGAAAAAAGTCACATGTT